GACGTGCTTTGTCACTCTATAGCGACCTGATTTACGGTATGACGGTCCTTCTCTAACCCGGTTGGCCAAATGAAGGGGATCATAGGGGTAAGCGATAGCTGTGTTCATCTAGTATGCGTTTAGCAGCTCATAGTGGATGGATTCCTTCAACCTCCATTAAATTAAGGGACGATGCTTGCGCTACTACAAAAACTAGTATCTTCCGCAGTGAAGCGATCCAACCGATTGTTGACCGTTGATTGGTGAGCAGTAGTAGCATCGAATAGATTGATGATATTTCGAGCCACTACACTCGCATTTTTCCCTTGGAGTGCCTGGTAGAAGGTGATGATACGATTAGGGTGTTGTCCATTCATTGACCGTAATACCGCGAAAGCCCATACGCGTGCCCATATCTACTCATGTGTTGATTGCCCGGGGAACGTCCTACAAGTTTATCACCCTTGCTACCGTGTTCACGCTGTTGATACAAATTTTCAACGCTTCAAATTTTTTGTCGCAGGACTTATTTGCCATCCTAATATAAATGGGATTGAACTACGCCAAACAACTCTAAGACTGAACTCATAGCGACAGATCAGTAACGGAGTGATCTTGCTACCCTTTAACTGCGAGATATCCTTTTCACTGAATTGAGAGGTAGGTTAGTGTGAAGAAGAGTTTCCCAGGTTTGCGGGTAGAAAAGGCTTGGTATATTTAGTAGCGCTCAAAAGTCTTTGGCAAAATGTTTTTTCAGTCTTACTTTTAAATCGTAGTACCCATTTCTGTCTGGTTCTAATCATGTGAAATTCAAATATGTATGGCATATTGGAATTTCAAGACTTTTGAGCGCTACTGTAGCAAGTTTCTGTTGAATTATCATGGAGTGTTCCCAGCATCGATGGATGTTGGAACCTTAGGTTTTCCTTTTTTTGAAGTGTTGCGTCACCTCTTCTTTGTTGTTTATTTACCTTACACTTTATGTTGAAATGTTTATTGTTTGTAAGTTATTCCCCGCAACATCTGTTTTCGAAGCACTGCATATAAATAAATGAATAAATAAAAAATAAGCTGTCCTGAATAGTAAGCCGTCTACCTACGTTAGGATTAGTGTTGATAGTCAGAGATTAGAGGACGGGGTCCTTATTACTTTGCAACATTAATCCCCTATTTTTCCATTTTCAACATGCCTAATTCATACGGTGCTTCCGGGTGGCGATTTCTGATGCTTCATTTTGTTGATGAAAATCAATAGAAACGACCTATCGCTAGAACTTCATATGCATTCATAAAGGGCAAACGCCGACGCACACGTGGGACACAACCGTCTATGATTGATTCAAAAATAAGTCTGAACAGAACATAGCAACATTTCCAGGTGAGGTGATAAACCGTATATGCAAGTGCTGAGGTGTCTGTGACAAACAGGTGAAAATGGCAAACTTTATAGCATACGTACATGTATATGTGCATGATAGGGTTGCAATTCTTTTCTAGAGATACCTCGGCGTCACTATCAGTTCATCATCCGTTCGCCGTTCTTTCATTGGTGAATCGGCAGAAAGTGGCACATCGGTGCCAGTGCCTTCAACCTCACTTTTCTAAAAATTCCATCTATTATTCACTAGAAGAAGGAGAAAGGTTTTGTCGTGAAACTCACCGTCTTTTGTCCTGACGCTGCACTCATTGTGCTCACACCACTTGTGTCACTAAGCGATGACGTTGGTCGCGAAGAGGCTGGAATTCATGACTAGAAATCTCTGCCTTCTGTCTGAAGCGCAGTCCTCTATGAGGGAGTGTAATGCTTCAAAGTCGTTTTGTCCCGTTGCGATGCCCTACACACACGTAAACCTCATAGATCGAATTTTACAGGGGGAATGTCGTTTTGTTTCGCCGGCCGCCTATTACCCCGTGGGCGAAGTTCTTTTTGCAACCTTAAAGACATATATTGAGTCTATTACGGCTGAGCACCTTTTCAGTAGCTCATCATATCTCGCGGGTCTTCACAGAAACACTATCAACATGCTTGATGAAAATGCCCGCATCGAAACAGGATGAAACATCTACGGTTAAGGTTCAGACCATCATTTACTTGGTAGGATTAACAGGCGGTAGGATGGGAACACTGGCGGTAGTTAGCAGAACTGGACACAGTCCTTGAAGAGCAGGGCGCGTGCGAAATGAAGGTATAGCTTGAAATTGTTATCTTGTTCTCATGAACCCAGAGCGTTCAAATTTGGAAGGGACGCACGAGATACGATAGAGCATTGATGGTGGGTTGCAGGACTGAACTCCGACTAGGTGGGGGCTGAACGAGAGCAAAACGATCGTAACCCGAATAAAAATGAGCAGCCTAGTTGGAATAAGTAGGGATTGAGCCAAGTTACTCAAGCACACCCGGCTTGGGCTATACTCCACTAATGTGGGCAAAGGTTGTGAACACTACCATCCGTGATAGGTTGATCGGGCGGCAAAGATGCTGGAATTAGGAGCAAAAATCTGTATTTCTCTTCAGTACATAGTGTTCTAGAGAAGGTAAAAAAGTGAACACAATGCAGCATAGCTATGGAAAGCATCGCAAGTCGGGAGGGCATGAAAGGGGGTGGAGTTGCGCTCCGAAATTCACAACGCTTCTCGAAAGCTTCCATAGTATGCATCAGTTATTCACAGCTTTTAGGCCCCAGCAAGCAAACCATCCCAACGTGAATACAAAAAGGAAGGAGCTTCGCGTGAAACAGCCGATCCGACTGGTCCAGAAAAGCTCTGTTGAGTCAGGAAAATAGCTTACTTATAGATCCCATTGGAAGGCAGCTCAAACAGTTGGTGAGACCCATTATATTTGTATTGCACACGCTCGACTTTGACTTATGGTCAAAGGACACGCACGCCGTGAGAGGAAAATTCAGCCTCTTAGCCGTCAAGGCAAACGATTGTCGATATATCCTTTTTGATACGAGCTGTGTCAAAAAAAAAAGTAGTTCCAGAGAAATATTCTACGCAGAAGCTGAGGATTTANTTTGTATTGCACACGCTCGACTTTGACTTATGGTCAAAGGACACGCACGCCGTGAGAGAAAACTTCAGCCTCTTAGCCGTCAAGGCAAACGATCGTCGATATATCCTTTTTGATACGAGCTGTGTCAAAAAAAAGTAGTTCCAGAGAAATATTCTACGCAGAAGCTGAGGATTTACACCAAGCGGCCAGATCCAAGCCACAGCGGTTTTTTGAGGTTTATGCAGTTCATCCTACTATTTTTTGCTGTGATGGATAATTTTTAGTCGCTTACTCGACTAAATTATCCAGAAATCGACATCGTAGTGTTTCACTATAATGAATTGTGCAAATCCAATGAGAAACTGAGACTTACAATGCTGTGCTGCCGACTTCCTCAATCTGCGGACCATGTCCTTAGTGAAGAGCACCTCTTCATCGTCGCTTGTGGAACTACACTCCTCCTGCATTCCGAATGTGTTGGAAATTGTATTAAAATGCTCTTGAAATGCTCTGAAACAAGAAATGCTTCATATCGATGACTGCGTCGACAATGTATGGCACAACGTTGAATCACGAGGCTTTCTCGCACTACTGTTGCTAAACAGAATCGAAGAAGCCTTGCTGAATTATACCTGTATCGGCCTTCAAAAAAATTGTCTTTGGAATAAGAATGTGAGGACAATTCTAGGATAGATTAGAGTTATAAATTTTTTTTCGACACATATTCATTTCGGAAAGATAAGTGCAGAAATTCTGGTTGAATTTCTAACAACCTAATGAGAGTAACTCCTTGGCTGTAACTCCTACTTGTGAAAACGAAGAAGTTTTTGGGGCACAGTGCAAGATAATTCTGAGGTTTCCAATTTAAAAAAGATGATGGAGGTTACGACGAAGGGCAACGCGAAAAATGGCAAAGTAAGCACCGAAATCGGCGAATTGAGAGAAACATAAGGCTCCACCAAAAAATTAGTAAAAAACGAGGTTGAATGAGATTATGTGTCTGTGACCGTCTGGCTGTCTTCCACGTAAGTGTACTACTCGACCGCATCTCCACGCTCCGTTGTGAATGGTGCAGCCTTAACAAGGCTGTCATATTATGGCCAGTTCTAGGTGTGTACGATGGCCAAGTCAGTTTGAATATTCATAACGCCCTGTTGAGGTCGTTTTTCGACCCGACTATGTCTCATGTGTTATGCTCGGGAATCATAGGCTCCTTCTCAGGTTGATCTCAGAAGCCGTTGTTATCGCAAATGTGCCTTTAAGTAGCATTAGCTGCCTAAGACACACTGGGGGACGGATGAGTAGAACCTGACGCGAGTTTGGCAGTAGTGGCCACAATTAGCCCAGAATTTTCTCACGAGGCCTTTCATGGGTATTGCACATGATATTACCAACAAGCTTCAATTGTGCGCTTACAAGCGCTCAGTAACATGGGAAAATACCGTTTGTAAGCAGGAAATTGTATGGTAATGGCGATTCTCAGCATTTAAATTAGCACTTAGCACTTAGCAATCAAAGTCATTCTAGAGGTCCTCCCCCTGCTACTAACGGCTGGAAACAGGAAAAGAGTGAAGATTTTATAGCTTAATTTGAAATGTCGTAATCGATGTGTTCAATGCCACATAGGCAGCCCAAAACCCAATGTCAATAAATTCTTTAAACTTCTTGATCGGTCTCATTTGCCTTTGTTTACTATCTTTGAAAGAATCTCATGAAAAAAGCGCAATGCGATGCGATCCGGCGATAAAATAATCTTGAAATTCCGACTCATAGAAAGACTGGGTGCCCTGAAACTATTCGACCCGTGAACTTTTCCAATTATTCCTGCTCACTGCTAAAATTGGTGGAAAGAAGAATGGATACGAATATCTACAACATCCATTTTCCGCCATTTTTCGATAGGTAGAGGACCGCTCGTTACGTTACTCCTATCTGGCCAATTCTGGGAATGCCCTCAAACTCTAAGGTAACTCACTCTCAAGTGCGTTATTCATGCTCAGACTGAGAGAAGAATGGAAGCGAACTTAACTGGTCTTCCTTCTCATGCCCAGCATCGAAATGAATGGATGTAGAAGTAATCGAATGTATTTTCGGTAAGATTCTTGATAATTAGAAGGGTAACATTATAGATACTGTTATTTAAAGCCACAGCTCACGATAATTATGAGGTAAATAGTTTGAGTGAAATAATGGAAGTTATGGTGCAGAATAGTGAAAAGGGAAAGGAAGCGCGAAAGTCGGCGGATTTCAAGAGTTATAAGACATCAGCAAAGTAGAGAGAAGATGGTTGTACGAGAATATTTAGCTGTAACCGTCTGGTGTCTCTCACATAAGCGTACTATTCGTCGGTGTCCTAACGCTTCATTGTGAATGGTACAGCCTCAACAAACGCCTGCCCTGCCTTACGTGCAGTTCCTAAAGGCCAGAGGCTTATCCTAGGGGGAAATCTTAGGCATCATATATATTTTCTATGATTATATTTTTAGCATATATTTTTATCGTGAACTATGCCTTTAATATTCCTGTGACCATAACGTTTCCTAAGGAGTCCAGAGCCAATCACCTCACTCGATGAATAAAGGCCTAGCTAACACGAATGCATTCGATGAAGGAATCCATTTGTGCCAGGTAGTGCCTTGTATTACCATTTTCTCATAGTAAAAGGATGTAAAAGTAACAAATGAGATTTCATCTTATCGTATTGCTATTGATTTCATGGAATGGCGGTATTATGAAGTCAGATGATTCTGTTTAACCCGATTATATTGACACTGTAAACAAAAAATACAAAGAATACGGACATTCCAAATATTTCCGTAGTTTTCACATTGGGAACAAATGATGTTATGGCTTTCCGCTTTCTCATCATAAAAAATGAATATTTCTATATTCACGACACACAGATGACCGATAAACTGCTTCTATTAACTTATGTTTCCCTTTAGTAATTGACGATCTACAGAAAAGACGCGTATCGTATTTCACAATGCCTCCAGTTGAAATATAATACTATGGCGTCCTGCCATTAACGTTAAAAGAAGTTTAGTTATTGTTTCAATTACTACAAATATATAATACGTAAATAAATATACGCTCGCTGAAAACTATGAAGTCATTTTGGGAGAAAAGAAGAAGTGAGAGATCTGGGAGGATAATGAGTGAGAGATTTAGGAGGATAATGAAGACCCAACCAAGGGAGAAGTCTTAGGAGGTGCCCTTAGTATTCGAGGTTCAATGTGAAAAAGGTAGTTCCGGTGTCGTTTGCCTGTTGCAGCGTGTAGCCCACACTTACTCATAAAAGGTAAATGCCTCAATGAGCCCTGAAAAACAAAGAAAATCGAAGTTGAGGAAAACGTCCCGCCAGCGAAACGATGAGAACATCTTAAATGGCAAAAGTCTAACTCTGCTCTGCCTGCGGGAATAATTGGAGATTGAGCGTGCAACACAAATTGAGAGAGTATCAATTTCATTGTCTCTTAAATTCAGCTCCCAGGCTTTTCCCAGGTCCTGTAAGTGAAGGTAGAAACAAAGCAGAAGTTAACTGAATTGCCGACATAATAGGAATTCACGAGATCGGCGGCGATCGATTGGCATGAACGATGTGTGAAGGAGGAGAGGCTCGGGGACTGAGTACACAGACACGTGAAGATACGAGAACTCGCAAGGAACCAGTTTCCTTTAGAGGAATACGATATGGCACAGGAAGTAGATCCCAAGTTAGGCACGGCGGCTAGCACAGCAGCACGTCTAGCTAACGTCGCCATGGAGACCGGCAGTGTTTGTGGTTCTGCGAATACGAGCAGAGGTTATGAGAGGGCGTTGACGAGTGCCGTATAACAACAGATTATGCGCATGTTCATAGGCAGTGACTCCCAAAAAAGGCGCTTAAATTATGATTCCAATTCAGCTGGGTCGCCGTGACAGATCCTATTATGACTGTGGACGTGTACAGAATTGAAAGGTGTGGGTGTTTGAAAACATATGCGAATTGACACAATCAATGGAGGTAACGGGTGACGAGACCCGGCTAAACAAACAAGCCTCAAAGCGCGTTCATGAAAAGCCGGACATAACTGACGGGCTGATGTAAGGAAACTATTAAATTATTAATGGCATATATGTAGAACAACTGAAATAATTGGGAATTTCTCGCGAATGAGATACAGACCAACAGCAAAAAAGTAGTGATAATTGCGATTTCATGGAGCAGTGCCGTTAAAAGATTAAAGGCATATTTCACGATAATTTTGTGTAATCTAAATTATGACGAAAAATGGAAGATAAGATGGAAAATAGTGCGATGAAGGAGAAGAAAGTGCGCGACTCGGCGTTTCCAAAGTGATAAAAGTCCTAGAAAAAATCGTTAAAAAGGGGCTAGACGAGAAGAAGACCAGAAAAATGAAGGAGGGATGTTCGGGCGAGCTATACTGTGCGTGCCGTTGCGCACTTTGGGGTCTCGGGGCGAATAGCTGCCTACAGTAGGCAAAGATGTACCTTAGAATTCATTCACCTCTAAGCATAAGTTAACAAATAACAAACAAGACCAGCGGGTAATCGTATAGAGGGAACTCAGAAACCATTTCTATCGTAAACTGTGCCTTTATGGCAAACAAGTCGCAATAGCTAGGCTGAGAGACCGAAAAAAGGATTGAAATTAGCTATCCGAACATTAGAAGAAATGATGATTTGGAAAGAATTATGAATATTCAGCAATCGTGGGAAGATTCAATATAAGACAAGACCGACACATTAACAAATCGGCCCCTTTCGTTTGGAACGCATGTTTACCGAGAATGTACGAGATTTTTGCAATAAACGCTTTTCTTCCTTGAAGACCCATCAGAAGATGAGTCAGATGATGAGATGATTCAAGGAGGCGCAGTTCACTGCTTGAGAGCGCTCTTCGTGCTAACTCTGGTGTATGAGTAGAGATCGACTCTATCTGTCACTAATTAACATGCTCCTTCTAAATACATGAGAAAAGCTCCATCCTAAAGGCACACTCTGCGATGGAATCTCCTGGGATTTCAGCTTAGGATGAACCCCCAAAAATAGTACAAGGGACACTGTAGGGCTGAAAAACGGCTTAGTCAAGGTGTAATAAGGGCTTCAAGACTAATTTGGGGGACGTACACACCTCAAAGTGGGCGAGTTGTGCCGGTCTTGTCAAAGCTGCACCACTCACAATGAAGCGTCATGACACTGAGAATAGTACGTTCACGTGGGAGTCGCAAACGGTTACAGACACATGATCTCTAACAAATCCTTTCCCTAGCACTTTTTTAAGGATTAATCTCTTTTGAAAAATGTTGCTCTTTTCCTTTACACTACATATCTCAGAAACGAAGTGTACCTTCAGAGACAGTCGATAGGGTTCAATGATTCCGGTAAAATATGTAAGTGAGTGCAGCTTCGGAAGTAAAAAGGCTTATTATGCAAAATTGAGCTGAAAGACTTTGCCGAGGCC